ATTTAGCTTGCGACCTTCAGCAACTGCTGACCTCTGGACAATTTGCTAGACAGAAGCGTTCTTCTTTTCTTTAAACAATAAAAAGTTCACCCACACTACAATCATGCAATTTTCCTTGGGATGATCAGAAATACTTGTACCCGATATTCGTCGATTTGCTTAATTGATTTTCTATGGGGTTTAAAGAAAGACAAATGAAATCTTCATTACCCTGTAGTTGACGGTTTCCTGTATTCTCATTACCTGGCTGCTGGACAAAAAGATTTGAACTGATAAAGAGAAAATAAAGGTTGATAGCTCTGGGAAATTGTCTGTTCAAGTTGTCTCGCCAGTTGCCGTAAACACCTTAATAACAGTAAAACAAGAAGAAGAAAGAAAGAAGAACCATACAACCACTCCGAAACGTGAAAATGTTTCAGCCGTTCAGTTGAGAATATCCAATCAGACAGCAGTGAAGCGTTGACGTACGGACGTGATGTGAATTTTAACGGTCTTGTAAATAAAGGGTGTTAAGCTCATGATACGCTATTTGATTAAACTTAAAGGATTTCTTTAATACCTACATATGGATCGAGTGTTTTCAAAGCTGCTGGAATAATAAAAGCCACGCAATATTCAGGCAGCCTCGTTCTCGGGTATTTTTCTACCTCGTCTTCATGCACCAGACTTCGTTGATGTTTTTAAACATGTGATGTTCTTTCTGGCCTGTGTACTGCCGCTAGCTCGTCTTAAGAAAAATCGGATCGGAGAGAGGCTTCCCTGCGTTTTCTTCGATAATCATGAACTTTGTCTGCATAAATTATCCAGGCATTAAAACTATTTCAGTAACACGACATTTGACATCACACGTGAAAACAACAAAGGAACTTACTCTTTACATGTGATCTTTGCATGAGCCCGTTAGGGTAGTTAATGACCAGGCATGCATGTAAGTGACCTCTGCCAAGTTCACACGCATAATAATTTTGTCGCCATAAAAATCTGATTGCTTCCGTTTATCTGGCTTTTGCAAACTTCCAACTTCTAAATTTAAATTTAATTCACAAAGTCTTACAAATCTTCATTGTGGTCAGTACGCCCAACTCTTGAGATATTTGCCAGTGTGACCGATAAAACCCAAAGCACTTAGCTCAAGAATTTACAAACGTTACACTTAACCAATCAGGCCTTTTTCCACACATTCCGGAAAAAAATCACGTGGCCTGAAACATGATGTCAACCTACGGTAAAAAACAAACGTCCTTTTCGTGAGAAGAACGGGCGGCTGTACGCACAGAGGCTAACAACTAGAAATAAATATATCAGGCTCACGTGGTCGGAGCGAATCGTCTCGGTTACGTCACTGAAATGAGTTGACTGTGATGGCCTGGAAGAGAGCCGCACAGGAACTTGACCAATGCAAGAAGAGTAAATTGACGACTCGTTGAGTGAATTTAAACGGGCTAACAAAATTCAAATACAACCTAAGGACCTCTCCTGTTCTAGAGTACACAGGCTCAATTAAGACGTAAGTTTAGTAGTTTTTGTATAACTTTACTACTAAAGAAATATTACGGTTTTTTTTATTGAACGTGCCTGGAAAAAAAAAAAAAACCCGAAAACAAAGGAAAGGAGATAATTTCTTTAATAAAACTGCTCAAAAAGAAAAATAAAAATATTATAAGTAAAAGACTACTGGAAGACTGACACAGCATAGTATATTTTAAAAAATATTTCGTCTGGCCAGACCAGCCTTCTTCAGGTTTAGAAGTTACTAAATTTTGAAAATGAAATTACAATATTATCAGTAATGGTGGATGTTGTAACACATATTTCGAAACTAAAAGGAGTGGCGGAATGAAAACAAAATAAAGTAAGGATAAAAACAACAACAACAACAACAACAAAAACCAAATAATCTAGTACAGCAAGTATTTCTTACAGATAACAGCAATGGGTAACGAGAAGCAGGTAATTTTTCTTTAAAGAGAATATATAATACAAGAGAATATATGAAAGAACATATGAAAGAACGTATATTTTAATGTTCCATTCCACTCAATGTTTCATTAATTGCCGTGTATAAACTGTAAACTTTAGCTATTGTGGCCCCTTTATTTGGAACAGTCTTCCTTGCGATTTAAGAGAAGCAGAGTCCCTGAGGTTATTCAAACGCCCACTCAAAGAAGATGAATAAAGCACGGTATTCGTAGAAAGGAACTTTTTTATTTAATTGTTTTTATTTTTTATCATATTAGACATTAGGCATTAAATGTATTAGCTGACGAATACTTTACCGTGTTTAGATAAAGATTATGTATGTATGTGTTATCATTACCATTCTTGCTACACGTAGTGCTATTCAGGTCGGGGAAAAGGCCATGTGAATGAGGTTGTTCAGTAAATTAGGTTTCAGCTTATCAGAAGTTAACGTTGGCAAATACGGTTTTGAAAGGTTTGTTTTAGCTTTGGCATCAGGGTTAGACCAATATATAGGTTTAAGGTTAGTTTTTAGTATTTGGTCAAAGTTGACGTTAGGCTACAGTCTCTGCAGTCCTCATTTTACACTGGTGGCAACATGATATATTCTTTGAAAAAATTACCTGCCCCCCGTAACCTGTTTCCCTTTAAAAACCCTTTTAATACCCGTACACGTATGTCACTAACGTCATAATTTTTGATTGACAACTAATTGGTTCGTGACTAAAATGTTTGTAATAGAACCCGCGCAAATGTCACGCATTAGTAACGTCATTTACAATTGACAAAGAGAAACATTATCTTATAACTGTCAATAACAGAGTTACTGTAAAGAGATTAATTACATTTATGCACGTAGTGCCGTGCTAAACATCTCGTGATAGACACGCACTTTTTAAACCATCCGTGGCCAGTTTTCGTCGATTTAAAATACTGTCACACCGAACCCAAAGAAGGCTTATCTGAAGGAAGTGAACATCGACTATCTCAGGTATTTGACTAGCCGAGTGGGTTAAATCGTGATATCTTCTACCCCTGTTCCTTGTAATCCCGGGCTTCCAACAGAATTCGAATATTTTGGCGGCTGGGGAACAACAAAAGTCAATGAAAAGGAAAATAGTCTAGCAAAAGCAGGAAATTGCCAAAAAAAAAAAAAAATAAATGTACTTTCATTTTGGTCGAAAAAAAATTCGTTGTCACGAAACGACAATCATTTATACTTTTGAACAATCCTTTTTCAAAAAAAGACTTTCATAACAAAAATTTGCACGAGAACTCACAATCAATTGCATTATTATACAACCAGTATCAGTGAAGGTGACAATCTTTAGTACGTTGAAACAGACATTATACCGTATTTTCACCTAACAAACAATAGCTCATTAGCGTAATTCTTTTGAACAGAGATATCGCGCCCAATTTTCCTCGAAATTTCATTATAGAACTAGGGACCGTATGCACCTNGGCTTTGGAACGGCTTTGATTCAGACGTCGAACTTTTCATGTGCCGAACCTAATGCATACACCTTGCCTGAAAACCGCTGATGTTTCGATGTGTTTTGGCTCAAACTAAATTAAGTTCGGTGAATTAAGTTCGACGTCGGAATCAACAGGCGTACTTTTGATAATTTGGGTCGGTCCAAATTCGAATTAAGTTCGGCTCATGAAAAGTTCGGCGTCTGAACTGGGCCTTAGGAAGCATTGAAGAGGTGTTTTTGCGACCCAAAATTTTGTAAAATTATTTAACCTCGTGATACGGGTCAGGGTGTGAATACATGCGCGCTAGGCAGGAAATATTTTTATCGGGGTGCCTGACAATTTTGAACTTGGCAATTATATCATTGATTATGTTTTAAAGTAACTAGATTGCTTATTACTGCATGAGACATGTAAAATAAGACTTATTTTTTCGCCTTATACGCGACTTAATCGGTTCAAAAAAGCCAGGAAAACATTGCGTCCTAGATTATCCTTCCCGACCCTTGTAAAGACAGATTTCGCACCCACCCTACCCACCACAGTATCATTTACTTTATCACGTCATGGTGAAAATGTCCTCGTTCTTCGTCGCCTACGTACAAACTTCTGCGTTTCTTTCTTCGCCTTCAATGAAAATTTGGAGTTAAATGGCTTCTTCGTTGTCGTTTGAGGTAATGAATGTACTACTTTACTCAGCTAAACAGCCGTTTGTTTCATTTCTAGTTATCTAAAACCAATACATCCGGTCATTATGACACGTAAAATTGTATTTTTCTCGCTACCCGTCGCGTCGCGTGAATCTTGAGTGATCTGTTTTTGCGTATTTTTCTTGGCCTGAGGAATTTACTCAACAAAACCAACCAAACCTTGGATGGATTCTCCGATGCAACAGAAAGAATTTTAAGCCGTTAGTTTACAGATGTAAATTTCGCCGGCACTTCTTCGCGTGAGGGTTTTTCAAAGTGCTTTCGTTTTGTCATGCAAATTCTGTGAGTGTGAAATTGGCAGTGTTTTAGAACGGTGAAGCAAAACACGCAATCGTTTGAACCGTTTTCAGCTCGCATTAACAATATTACCGAGTCCGTACATTTTGAATCGATAGTCACTGGTAAACACTTGCACAAAAGCGAATTGAAAGTTGTTCAACAATTCAGGTGAGCTGAAAGTTTAACTCGATTTATTTTTAGCTCTTTCGATGTTTTATAATCCGCAACAGAACCGTAATTGATTGAGCAGAGTTTGAAATGTTCGAACTATTGTTTGCTACGTCTTAAATGTCTGCCCAATCATATGTGTATTTTATAATTCACCTTAATGACATTTTCCAACTGAACTTGGAAGGCCTTAATTGAATATTTGTTGACAGAAGGTAAATTATCAATAATTATTTTATAAGTTTGTTATATGTGTTAATAACGTGAAATATGAACATATTTTAAAATTGCTGTAATCAAGTTTTCCTTAGGCTAATATAAAGTCATTGTGTATTACTTCAGAAAATAATCGTTTTTGATAACATGAGTTTAACTCCTAAATTGATTTAATTTCCCCTGATTATGTTACATTATTGCATCCACCCTGTCTGCAAAACGTGTTTTGTAATTTCATATTGATATGATACAAAAAAAAAAATCTTTTAACTTTTTGTAACACAGCATTGAGTTATTATTGCATATTTTTTCCTGATACTTTAACATACGAAATCCCATCTAAGTTTTGAAGTCTAACTCTCTCAAGTTGTGAAATACATTAGCCTCTCTGATGAATTTAATTTTTTTTGCCAGAGGGCAAATTCTCAGACATTAATAGCACATACTAGAAAACCACAATGCAGAGAAAGAAAGAGAAAATAATTAGAAACTACCCAGGGAAAGCAAAATTGCCCTCTTGATCACTGCAACCTGTTATTACTCTGCAAAGAGTTGCCAGGATGTTTAAAACTTGAAGAAGCTGCTAGACCTATACCTGTATCTATTTATGAGTATCAAAAATTCTTGTTAACAGAAGAAATTCAAAGCAGGTTGAGCTTTCTAAGAATCTTATTTAAAATGTAAATATTTATAGCAACAGTCCTATTAGTGGTCTACTATTGCAGGGATGCATCTGAATGTGAAATATATGTACAGGATGACAAAGCATGACATAGGATTTTGTCTGAATAGAACATTTTGAACTTGACAGCCTGTTAAGTGAACTGTGGTGCTCAAATTGAGTTGTTTGTCACCAAAGTTTGAATGCCGGAAACCATGCTTGACCATGGATAACATAAATATTGATGGTGCAAACAAAGGATTGAATGCTTTGCAAGCATGTCTACCAACCAGAGTGAGGTTCTGTAAATTGATTTTTGGTTGACAGTTATGGGTGAGAAATTCCCATATCAGGCTGACTTTTTCAGGGCCAGAGCGAGAAAAAACTTACAACTAAGACAATGTCTGTGGAAAAATTATGACTGAAGCAATGTCGTCCATGGTTAATTCTCATCCTATTGTTAATTAAGGGTGTTTATAATGACTGAAAATAACAAAAACAAACAAAAGGACTGATGCAAGTGCCTCGGTTTGCCTAAAGATGTAAATTTCTGATACCAAATTACCAGTAGATTGTTTTTTTTTTTAATCACATAGTTGAATTCAGATGCACACACCTGGATATAGCCAAAGGCTCTGAGAGGGTTAACGTCATTCTGGGTCTAAATAGATTGGCGTTCATGAGACTAAATGGTGAGAAAACAATGTTTTCTGGTAGTTTTCACTCTTTCAGGATAGTGAAACTGCCCTCTGCATGTTGAAAAAGTCATCATGGTAAATTCTTGTACCCTGAAGGCAATAAACAAAATTTGGGCAACCTGTGTGAACACTCTAATCGAAAGCAGTCATTATTTAAATGTAACACATGAAATTCAGCTCTTTTCACACACCATTAAGTTTGAGACTGGTTGCGGTTTAAAATTTATTGCATGAATAGCTAAAAAATATATAATATTTATTATCTGGTTGGTCATGCGATGCAGAATATATTAAGTAAATAGCTCACTGCAAACCGCAAGCTCACTTTGTCAGAAACTTTTCTATTTAATAGCTTTGTGAGTCTTTAAGCTAAGTATCTGCCAAATCTACTCAGAAAAGTAGTGATAGTTTAAGTATATTTGGCACAATCTTCGGTGGGGGGAGGGGGGAAGATTATTATTAATAGTAATAAATATTTGGCCCTGCTGAGTCATAGCTTTTACATTTAGCGATTTGTAAATGTAACAACTTTCTTCGATTCAGACATATAACCTTTCTATTTGAGACAATAAATAACTGAAAACAGATTTTGTCTGAGTTGTAAAGTTCTACAAGATGCAGTTGAGCTAGTTGATGTGATCTATGCAAGAAACACATTGTCTAAAAATAAAAACTGCATCCATGAATAGATTAGTTATGTTCTGTCAGTTACCCTTCGCTTACAGAATATCTTTAGTCATTACAACTTTTTGTGACTCTGTGATGTACATGAGCTATTAATTATGTCTTCATTTATCTGTTGTCAAATCCTGATATTTTAATTTTTTTACAAGTGTAATGTGCTACTGTTTATAACTGTACTTTGATCTTTACGTAGATCACAATCTTTAATTAATTCCTCGCTCCCGATCAAGGTCTGGTGCTTACAAGTACTTTATGTAAACTGCTTTGTTTTTCAGAATCACTCAGGATTGCCGTCAGCTACATAAGTTCTCTGATATGTACGATGGTTCCCACTGTTCTAGCAACTTCAGCCCGGCAAGAAGGAACAGCTTTAAAACAGAGGTGTAAGGCTACCTCAGCATCACAGAGGTTTTGCAGGTCTAAAGCCAGCAAAATGTTTTATTGCAAGATTTGCCTTTCAGAGTGTCCAAACAAGAAGGGACAAAAGCTAGACAAGTGCGCTTGTCTGTTTTGTAGCGAGGTACATACTTCATGTATTCATTGTCATCATGTCCGCTCTCCATGAGAACCACTCAAACATTAAGAAGTAACATATTTGGTACTTCTCTGTAATTCAGTCAGAAGCATTAAACTACTAGGTTTTTCAATACCTACTTGGGACAAGCAGGGTTTTATAATAAAAAAAACTCCACAGACTGCACAATCTCAGCTATTTGAGAAATAGAAAACATGTACTGTGTTCATATCAAGTTATAGAAACAGGAGTGGAAGTTTGAGAGAACGAGAAATGCTGTAGGAACATGAGTCGTAGGCGAGTGTTTCCGCAGCTTTTTCGAGTTCTCCCAAACTTTCATGAGTGTTTCTATAACACGATAGAAACACGGAGAACACGTTTTCTATTTCTTTTAGAAAGCACCATGACAAAAAAAGGGAACAACTTGTTAACATCAAAATGTAAATTCTTTTTGCTCAAGCCATCATTACATCAACAGCTCATGCTTGTTCTGTGTTTCTATTGAGTTATAGAAACACGATTTTTAACTAATCAGCGTGCATATTTTCTTAGGGCTGTTTTCTAAATATTAATCCATACATGTATACACATGTAAATATAGTTAATACAACATGTTTGGAAAATTATTTACCACTCCCATTGCTGAAGACTTGTTACTAGAAACTTTGTCCAACAAAATCAAGCTCAAACCAAGATGACGTCACATTTGTTCAATGAAACATTCATTGACTGAGTTTAATAATAATAATAATAATAATAATAATAATAATAATGATAATGATAATGATAATGACAATGGTAATGGTAATGATAATGATAATGATAATAATAATAATAATGATAGTTTAGCGTTGAATACTAATCAGGTAACATCCACAGAGTCAAATGCTAGAACATGTATGGAAATTGACCTGATGTTTGTCTCTGGAATAAAAAGGGTTTACTTTTAATAATATTATGTTTTTATCTATTCATATCATTTCTTTTCAGTGCCTGGAAAAATATGTGTCGTACTCAATTAACACTGGAAATGTTCTGAAGTTACCCTGTCCAGATCCTTTGTGCACAAAAAATGGTTATATAACAAAGAATGAGGTTAGCTGAGTTTTCTGGATATTTAAAAAATATATATATTAATAAAAAATTAATGTTAGTATTGATCTTAATAAAATTAAACTATTTTAAATTATAATTATTATAAACTAAAGCTAAAAGGAGATGTACAATTTGTGTTAATTATTATTTTAATCTCAATTATCCTAGATTACTTTGATGGTCAATGATGACACATTTCGCAAGTATGTGAGGCTACGTAAAAATAAAGGTACTTTGTTACTATTAATTATGACATTCTTGGCTGAACAGAAGATGTGTTATGTGTAGGTACAAGCTAGTGGCTCAAATCTAGTTTGTCTGACAGCTGAAATCCAAAATGGTGTACATTGTAAAATAGAAGATGGGCAATGGTGCTAATCAAGTTAATTTTAATTATCAAATCTAATACTTTAATGGGCCTTGCCCTAGTCTCAAAAATCAGTGTAAGAGACGTCAAAACTTAATCCCTGTTTGTGAATTGTCTTTCACAACCATTTAACGGTTTAAGGGGAGGGGGGGTTTCACAGTACTGTGACTCTGTCACTACACAAACCTGCTAGTTTAATTGAATGGCATGTAAATTTCATCTGTTACTTTTAATAATTATTAATATGACTGTTCTATTACAGAGGTTGCTGTAGATAAAACCAAAACCTTTTGTCCTATGGCTGGATGCGAGGGAATATGTGATGGGCTGCCTAGTGTAGCGCAGCCTACAGTCTGTCAAGAGGTAAACAAAAACGCATTTACACACAGCTGCATTGTTTAAGATATCATTGACAGTGATAACTGTAAGACTGAACATTTAGTGTGGATAGGACTGAAAGCAAACATTTTTCTTAGTCTCTTAGTTTCATGTAAGTTGTTTCTTCTTCAGTGTGGGTATACTTTCTGCTTTGCCTGTAAAGAAAATTGGCATGCCACCATGACATGTGATGAGTACAAGGAAGTCATTTCTGACTCAGAGTCAGGAGCAAGGTAGGACTACATAAAAATTTCTAGCATATTGCCAAATTAATTAATAGACTATTATAACACATGCCCTATGTAATAAGGTATCTTGTGCCACACCAAAAAGCTTTAATATTTACATTGTTTGTTTTTTTTGCAGATTTGTGGACATTCTGAGAGAGAATGGTGGAGACATCAAGGAGTGTCCGCTGTGTCAAGTGCTGATAATGCGAGAAGCTGGATGCGCTCAGATGATGTGTGGTCACTGTAAACACATCTTCTGCTGGCATTGTCGCAAGTCACTGGATGTAAGTAATTGAATGATAATTTAACTTTACAAGGCTGATGGTGTTAATCGTAATTTCCGAGCAATAGCTTCGCCCCATTTCACTGTTGTGTTATCTTGCCCTACTTGAGTGGATTTAATATTATTTGGTCTAAAATGGTCTTGAAACAAAAGTAACCAAGTTAAGAGTACCTGATTTTTTTTTTTTTTTTTGGTTTCACAGAGCGACATCATGTTGAGACATTATGATAAAGGTCCTTGCAGAAACAAGCTGGGCCACTCCCGAGCATCACTGTTTCTACATAGAACACAGGTTAGTGTTCAAAAGGTTTCTCAGTAATTTACACTTTTGGTACTTGATATTAACTATGGTTGAAAAAACAGAATATTTGAGTCACAAGACAACCCCAGAAGCACAATTTCAGCTTGTCTCAGAAATTAACACTTTGTGTTACATTTCCTTAATAACAATTGCTGTAGTAGTAAACTATGACTGAAATCAAGATGGGATCCTGATCAGTCTCAAATTAATAATTCCAGATGACATCAAAATAATGAATATCACTCTTAAAAAAAATCTAGTGCAGGCATTGTAATTATTGTACAAAGCTTTCCTAGCATACAGTACAGGAAATTGTCATGCTTAGTCAAGATAGTGGAATTTTTAACAATTATTCCACGAGCACACATTGGATATGAGATGGTAGATATCCAACTTGGCACTACGCATAATATTTGTCCCATACATGTATCCAATAAGGGCGAGTGGAATAACTGTTTAATTAAAAACGCCCCCAAAATATAGAAAACTAGACTAAAAAAATTACGCATACGCCTACCATATTTGTAGAGCATGTTTTAATGGCTCATAACCCATGATGGCTAAACCAGTGAAAACTCTCGAATTGCATTATCCAATGATCCAGATTTTAATATACTATACAAGTTCAGTTTGGCAAAAACCTGTATTGTATGTGGCTGTATCACTGTTTTGGTTGTATGCAAAGACGCAAGTTTAAGCAACCACTTAAGACAAAACAGATCGCTCTTGGGGAAACCACAAGCAATGCTTACCAAGACCACAGGATACCCAGTCACAGACGCCTTTCATTTTCTGTTCTTGCCTTTTTTTTTTTAGGTTGTTGCTGGATTTGCTTTCTTTGGATTAATGGTCTTAGTGGCATCTCCATTTCTACTATTAGTCTCACCTTGTTTGTTGCTTTCAAAGTGTCTTTTCCGCAAAGAAGACATGTAGGACAAATTTTGGCCACAGAAATGAACTTGGTTACCAAGAAATTTACTGTTTTCTCTAACAAACTAACTAGGTTTGGTTTCATTAGAGGTCTTTTCAAAGAGAAGAGGCCAGTTAAAAATATTCCACTAATATTAATGTTGCATGTTTTCAGCAGTTATTCTGTATAACAGAAAAATTTAGATTGTTTTAAGCTTTTAAAGACTTTTAAAGATTTCAAGCAGTGAAACATACAACAGATACTTGTATTAAATGATAATGAATGCGGAAACAAGATTTCTGCAAAAGTCATAAATTATAATAATTATGCTGTTCAGTTCCAGTTAGTTTCAGTTTTTTTTTTAACTGGATATTGCTTCCTCTATAAGGAAATCAATCATTGTAATAATCCATTAAGTTTAGCTGTAAATAAAAGTTCTTTACCATTAGATTGTCATAAGTTATTGTGTGATTTTCAAGTTTGCTTAGGGGAAATCCAAGGTAGGCTTGATTACCAGCCCCTGTTTTGGGAAATGCGCCCAGGCTCAGGCACGCAGACCCGAGAGAGGGGCGGAAATTGAGCCTACATCCAAGGCTGTGGTCTAAGAAAAATTTCGAGGAGTACAAAGTTTTCTAACCATGAAATCAGGGTGCCCAGCACTTGGCTCATGTGAGAAAAGTAAGTTGTTCCAGTTGCCCAAAGTCAAAAGTTTGTTGCCTGTGGCACTTAGTCACTTCTAGAGCACAGCCCTGGGCATCAGGTCTTCATGTACTAAATGCCCTCTCAAAGGTGCCACACACTCTGAAATATGCCAGTTTGTTAATCTCTTACTCCCAAGAGGGGGTTGCAATTCCTGCAGACAGTTTTCATAGGTTATGGCAAAATATCAAATCTATACAAATTCCTAGAACTCCATACAAACTCTCATAGAATGTTTTCATTAGTCATCTGTGACAAATTTCACTTAAAAAGTAAAATCGTCTTTCAGCTTTGATGAAGTGTCAGAAAATTGTCAGATAAACCTTACTCAATTGTGGAAAACTACTCAGTGGAATCCAGATTTTTGGAACTTCCAAGGGAAACGAGAATTAGTTTGAAAATACAAGTAGTCTGAGAAATCAGGGGTGAAATAATATTATTGGTGTTGGTCTTAGTAGCGGGAGATGACTTTTGGTTCAAAAAATTGGGAGTTTCCAAAAAATCAGGATTCCGTAGTTGAAAGGCTTCTATGTATTTTTTTTTCTATAGATTCCCAAATTTTAGCTTGAATGCCAGGTTTAATATTTAAACATTGAAGAGCTGGATTTCAAAACACCTTGCAAGGAGGCACAAAATTAAAAAGTTTACTTAACTGTAAAACCTGATAAATGAAAACTTGTATGCTGGGTTGAATTATTGAAGCATTCAACTTTAGAATGGCACATGACATTGTATGATCTATCAGCCAGAAAATTTTACTGAAAATTTAATCATAGAAATTTTACTTTATTGATTTAAAATAAATCAAGATACATTGATGGTAAGATGGAACTCATGCATAACTGTCAAAACTAACTACACTAGCTAACTATAGAAAATAAAACACGTCTAGTATTATACAGGCTATGCGTCAACAGGCGGGCATTACACGATACCTGAATAAATTACTTGTCTTAAAGTATGTATTGGTTATAAATGATTTCTAAACCTAGCCACTACAATTACACGAGTCTTCGGTGATGTTCAATTAGATTTCAGTTAGGGTTTTCATCCAGTTTTTTTGACTGGAAAACAAAGGTCTTGATTGATTGACAACAAACTTATCGGTTGATTTGGTGGATCATGTGTACTAAAGGCATCTGTGGTCAAGTGTTGATTGACACTCGAGCGACACCCAATCAACATCTCAATCGATGCCTGATTGACACTAGGCCAACACTTGATTGACAGCTCAATCAACATCTGATCGACAGTGGGTCATTAGTTGGCCATGTGTTGACCAACTCATGTGAATCGATCAGCACTTGTTGATGTCTGCGATAATTAGTCGACTCTTGACTGACTGTCAACTGAGGTGTTGATTGAGTGTTGACCGAGAATCGGTGGAGATGTCGATCGAATGTTGATCGCGTATCAATTGAGATGTGGATCAACTGTTGATAGAGATGTCAATCCAGGGTTGATTGATGGCATTGATCGATACTCATCTGCGGATGCCTTTAGTACACATGATCTGAATTGGTTTGGTTTCCCAGTAAAATACTTTTCCATCTGTTCCTTGAATCAGTCTTTTGATATTATTGATTCAGTAACATAGTGCACACATAAGTTAGATGTATAGACAGTGGCTCTGTGTTGCAAATAGGGTGACATGGGTAAAATAATTACAAGTGCAAATTACTGTCTCCTTTTAAAATAGGAAAAAGTCTAGATTTCAGTAGAGACATTGAATCTGTTTTTTCACTTTTCCTCTAAACAATAGATACATACTTTACAATGTCTTAACTCAAGCTTTTGGAAAGAAATAAGAGGAAATGCAACTGTTTAATTGCAGAATTAAACAGCTCCTTTCTCCTATTTAACCAACCATAGTCCAAGTGGAAACGAAACTGGATTCTAAAAACTACAATGTTGCAATAGGTTTAAAAAAACATGATTGTCTTGGAACACTGTCTATTGCAAAGTAATAGATTAATGTACAGTCTAAATAACAAGGTATGATACGTTTTGCTGAAAAAAAAAGTTTTAAAAACACAGTGTTCATGGGTGTGACTTGTGAAATGGTAAAAAGGTTGGAACTGGTTAACGTTTATTTTTTGTCGTATTTTGTTGTTCTCATGATATGACCTGCAATAAAGGCAGAAGTAACAAGCATTTCAATATTATTATTTTTAACTTATTAGATATATAAATATAAAGGTAAAAGGACTGACTGGAGGACAATTTGGAGAGTAATTAGTTGAGTTATATTAAATCTGAAAAAGCTTGTGGCATGACACTGATTTAAATTTACAACCATGGCTATCACTTACTGCTAACTGTACATGTATGTACAAGGTCTGGCCCAGAGTTGTTCGAAAGGTGGATAATGCTATCAACCAAACAAATCACTATCCATTGGATAACTTTATCCACTCTTTGAACAACTGGGGCCTGTACAATAAAACTCAAGGAGAGATTACACTGACATAACTACTTTTTGGTAACTAAAAAGATCAGAATTTCTTGTTGTTTTTTGTAGGAAAAAGGAGTTCATTCATGCAATGTTCATTCCAGTGTTTTTTTTTTTAACTCTGGACTACATCCATTCAAATTCACCTTTACGATACATGGGGTTTCAAAGCAGTTTAAACAAAGAAGGCTAAGAAACGAGTGCACCACCATATTATAGATTGTGTCTGCTGTGAGAGAGATTCTTTTTATTTAGAGTTCTCTTTCCTAACAATTGTGAGGGACGTATCCAGGGTGCTGCAATTAAGTAAGTGTGTCACAAGAATGTTCAGTGATTACCTTTCTTACTGTGTCTTTGATAAAATCCTTCCTAGAGGTTAGGTCATGTTCTGGAAACATATCGTACACCTACACAAAGAGTAAGTAAGAAAATCAGACGTGGTTTGTATTTTGGCAAGACATAGTTGAGCCAAAATACCCATGGTTCAACAAAACTTGCCTGATATGCTACCAGAGCATACCAAGGAAGATACAATTAGGTATTAATTTACCTTATCCAAATTTGGCCATTATATCATAGCCATAAAAGGTCATTAGACACTGTAGCTTCTGAATGGCTAATACCAAAGTATGTATAGAAAAAACTTTTGAAGGAAAGTATAAAGCTAAACTAGAATTTTCCAACAGAGTGAGGTGGGGTTTCAACTCACCTGTTTACACACACTCTTCATCGTCACCTGTTCAAGATCAGCTCCATCTAGAAGATCCTTCACAATTTTCTCAAGTTCATTATTCTGTAGTTCAATCAGAACATAGTCACAGTATTAATTACATCTTCCATCATTTATGTCTCTGAAAATTTGTATTATATCATTATGGACCTATGGCTGGAAGAGATCATGTGTGCTAAAGGCATCTGCGGTCGAGTGTCGATCAATACCCTCAATTGACCTTTGATCAACACTCAATCGATATCTTGATCAACACTCGATCTAGTATTGGTTAATATATGGCTGAGAGGTCGATTGAATGTCAACCTTGTTGACTGAGGGTCTATCAAGGGTATCAAGCGATACTTGACTGTGGATGCCTTTAGTACAAATGATCTGACTCCATTTAACCGAATCCTTCCACAGTATGAAGTTACTACAGTGTAGGTGGAGTATTGCCACATGTATTCCACCCTCCCTCTCCCCAACATTCATGTTTATAGTTTGTGGTGGAATAGGAATCAAACACAAGGGCAGTGGCCCTGTTCATCATGATGCCTCCACAAAAACAGGCAATGCAGTGTTCTTGATAAGAGTCTGATAAATTTCTTAGGTCAAAACCCAACAAAGTGAGAACCTGACACAACAAGAGAAATTCTGATGATTTGGTCAGGCTCATATCTACTGACCAGTTAGAATTCCTTATTGAAACCTTCCGTTTGAAATATGTCTGGATTCCACCAATGACTTTTGCAAATCTACGGTTTCTGATAACAATGTACACAGATGACTAACATGGCTGCGATGTTAAACTACGCAGCATGCCATATTATTTTGTTGCCAGATTGTGCTTATTATTGCACAAACTGGAGCTTGGTGCTACATTGCAGCAATAAGTACATCAAACAGCATTTTGACAAACAACTGAGCTTACTGTTGGAGGCTGCTTCTTTGATTTCTTTGCTAATGGTTCTTCATCAGAGGATGAATCATCTACTGGTTTGGGTTTTTCTGAAGAAAATCAAATGTTAAATAAATTTCTAATAACTGAAATGTTGCTATAACTAATACTATATAAACAATAGTCTCCATTTGGCGCCTAAAATACACTCTGATGTTACATTCTGACCGCAATTTCTGAAACAACCATAATGTGCGTTACTTAACAGCTGGGCTGTCATGAAGTTTTGAGTCAACAGAAGCCTTTATCTTCACAACTGTAACAAACTTGTTACCTTTTAGGTGAATTGTATCAACTATAGTCCAGTTCACCTGTAACATCAAGGGCCCATCAAACATACTCAGCCATAGCAGATGTCATGGGTTTCAGCCCTTAACGAGAGCCCTGAAGAGTAACTTTCCATCTCGTACCTTTTTTGGGAGTCTTCTTCGGAGAGGCTTTTTTCAAAGCTGTTATCTTAACCTGAACCGGCGCCATCTTTTTAGGTGATTTTGCCTTCTCTCCTGTTTTCTTTGATTTTGATTTTTCTTTGCTTTTAACCTTGTCTTTCGCTTTATCTTTCACTTTCTTTTCTTTGGCTTTTTTTGACGGTNAATTTCCAGAGGGAGGGGGAGGTTTTAACTAAAAAACCCAACATGGGAGGGGTATCAAACTTAAAATAAACTTGGTAACTAATAGTAGCACTCTCATATTTTCCATCATTTTCAGGATCTGTTTGTTCCCAGTGTTCATTTCATCAGTGCTCAGATATTCTAAGCATGACAAATTGCAAAATGGGAATTGATGCTAAATTATTCCACACTGTTCAAGAACTTGATTTGCTATTGGCCTCCAAACATCAAATATTAATTAAAACTTACTCTTTTTTGTTCTTTGTCTCTTCTTCTTCTCTGCCTTTTTTGCTTTAGGTTGAGGGGCAGGCTGCATAAGATTGTTTAATGATACAAACAAGTAAGTGACATTAAAAAATATAATTTTTCAGTAGAAGAGAAGGATTAAGAGAGCATCTTGTATGTTTGACAGAGTCTTGTAGTATTGTACTACATTGTACATGTGTATTAGTTGTGTTTTTCATTCCTTTACAAAATACTACACTTACTCTCCCTGATGACTCCGGTGACATAAGAAAATCCATAACTTTTTCTAGGAGGTCACTCTAGGGAAAAAACATTTAAATAACAAATTAATGTCTTAAAGAGAATATAAATTGTCAATCTCAACATCAGTCCAACTTCATGTTTGCTACTCAAGGTTTACCTACATGTATAAAACAAATGGAAATCCTGCTAGCTGGAAATCCCATGATTTCAGAATAAACACAAAAACTTCAAAAAATTCTTCAGTATATAGTGTGTTGCCTCACCCGCTTTCCTTTCTTTTCCAAGTCAAAGATTTCACAAAGTCTTTTTAAACCATCATTTGTAAATCTACAGGAAAAGGATGACAACAGATCTCACTATCAGAAAAGCAATATCAAAAATAAAGGCACAGGTTACATGTGCACAAAATTAATCATAGATTCCTGTGGGTTATACCATAGACAATGCCTGGCATTAATGCAGTTTTGTTTCTTTCCTTAGTGGTATACTGACAAGTGCAGTATATTTAAACAATACAGTTACCGGTATGTAAAAAATAAAATATTTATAATAAATAAATTTAATAAATATTAAACGCATAAAGAAATAAAATAATGGAGTTGTTGTGAAAGCAAACAAATAATCATTACCTTTCCACACCAAGCTTTTTTGCTTCATATTCTTTAGAATCCTGAAATAAAAAGTGACAACTATTTCTTTAAAAGGTATTCAGATCAACTTATCCACATGCAAAGATAATAAATCCAAACAATGTAATTAAATAAATAAATTACAATTTTAGAGGGAAATTTGGAATTTGGAGATGTTGGTTTTGGTGGAAGGAGGAAAACTGGAGAGCCCGCAGAAAAACCCTCAAAGCGAGGTAAGAACCAACAACAAACTCAACCCACATAAAATTATGGCACTGGGCCGGAATCGAATCTGGGCCATATTGGTGGGAGGTGAGCACTTTCGCCAGTGCACTACCCTGTGATAAGATTGGGAAACACACTCAAGCATACATGACATACCTTTTCAAAAGCAAATCCATTAAATTTCCTAATGTTCTTTTTAATTTCCATTACCTGATGAGAAAAAAAACAAACAAAACAAAACAAAACAAACACTTTCTCACTTATTGAACTGACATAATTATATCTATTATTTTTGGTCAATATAGCTTTTAATTTTCAGCTTTTAATTCTATGTACATGTAGGTTAAAGCCTTGCGACAGACCAGACTGTCCCACCAGTGTCTCATCCAAGAACACACAACACAGTGACCTGAGCCAGCTAAGTCTAGCACATTAAAACCTTGTTGGATTATGATAACTGAACGTCTAATGATATGCAATTCCAGCAAAGTTAGACAAAAATGAAAACAAAACAAAAGAGAAACAAATAACCAAAGAACAAAACAAAGACATGCATATTGATATGCAAAGCATACCCGCCCTTCTCTTCCATACAAAAGCTTGTGTAAAGGCTTTAGCTCGCCTGGAGAACTTCTTCCTATTTCATAATTTGCTGGAATAAAGTGAAAAAAATACATACACGTCCAAGTTAGTAAGTATTATGTACTAGTCCACAAGGCATTTCCCCTTGCCCTCCCCCCATTCCCCAAATTGATCTCTAACAGTACTTCTCAAATTTGGGTGTCCTAAAAAAGATTTTTTCCCAAAAATTTCATTTAACCACCGGCCAAGTAAAAGACACAGTCCATGCACTAGCCTGACTGTAAAACCCACCAGTCCCAAGCTATCAGAATTTTCTTTGCATGCTGCATGTAGGACGGCAAAAATAAAGATATTAAATAATTTGTCTTTATTATTGCCTTGTGGTACACAAAGTGCATAATTATCAGAGTGCAAAAATTCACATAATTTTCAACTTGCCCTTTGGGCAACCTGTAACTAGGATGTTCTAGCCTGGAAAAAAATTTTGCTGCTAGCACGATTAAAGGCCGCTCCACACTAGCTGATTTTTTTATCAGCCGACAAAAAATCTTCACTTGTCGGCTAGTGTGCAGTGAATTCAGATAAAGATCGGGGCTTGTCAGGCGATATCTGACACTGCTAGATCTCAAAACATCTTGTCTGGCCTTGTCGGCTAGTGTGTGGTGGACCAAGACAATTTGTCGGGGCTCACCAGCACCTCAACCAATTAGGAAATGTCATGAGAGTCACATCAGTGGAATAGGTGCTATCTTGAGTTTGGATGACTAGGCCCCAAGCCTCAACGTGGTTAGCCGCGACAAAAAATCGGCTTGTGTGCGATAAGCTGATGGCCCAACAAATTTTAACCCGATTTGACCCCAACAAAAAATCTGCAGTTCTACAACAAAAAATTGGCTAGTGTCCGGCAGCCTTAACCAATTAAAAGCTGAAATTAAAATAATGTGTTTTTGATCTCTTATAGTACTTCTGTAAGTTGAGTATTCTCAGATTTTACCCTCAAAAACTTCACTTGCTCATTATGGGCAAGGGATGGATCGAATTGACTAACCCAACCATAAAATTTACTATTGGATTAGGCAGACATGACTTTCTTTGCATGCTGTATTACGTCCTGACCATCTCGTCTAGTGAACATAGTACAGATTATATATGCACATGTAATATGCCACAAATGAGTGACATCTAAATTTCTATTGCTAGTTTTTTCGCTCTAAGTAACAGAAAAGTATTAGCACGTGCGTCATGAATAAACTGCTACAATAGCGCTGTTTTCACAAAAGGATGAGTGGAACAGATCTTTGACAAGTTATCAGGTGTCTTAAGTATGATTTACATGTATATGTCTACCATTGTGTGAGTCAGTCAGCAGTCAAATACTTACTTCTTTCAATCAACCCTAATGAATCTCCTTTGCCCTGAAAAAAACCAAAGTCAAATGAATGTCATTTGCCATTGAAACAGACAAGCTACATTTTGTTTTGGTGCAAGTACCACACGATCAACTTTATTTGTATTTGATAAAAGCATACAGAAAGGCAACCATGTGCGCAAGGCCTGATTATTGAAAACCAAGTTAAGTTAAATTGCCTTTAATAACCATTATAAAATTCTGATATGATCCTTATATGATTTCCTCTCTGTCACATTTCACTAAGGGCAATCTCAAACTCTACCTTTAAGTTAGGGATAATAATACTCTTTAAAACCTAGGACAGTGCACTATCTTGGAAGAGAGAGACTTGTCTTGAGTATCTTACAGCTCAGTCCTAGCATTCAAACTAAATTCCTCCTCTGTGACTTTCTTTTGCATTTCAAAATCTGGCCTGGTGTACCACTTAAATTTATGTACAACCATTTAATGCTTATTTTTACCTCAAATAATAGAGGTTTAACCTCTTTGTTAATCGCAGGAGTGGTTTGATTTACTAGAAACTCTGTGGACTTTCTTGCTCTTTTTCCTTCAATAACAACTGGCTTGTCGTAAAGTCCTAGCAATAGAAGAATCAACAATAACATTATAATTATCCAAGCAAAGCCCTTGTAACATAGCACATACAAACTAGAGGCTGGCGGACTACGGTTTGTCTATCAGTGTCAGAGCCTTAGTTTGGGCCAGAGGTTTCATTAAGGGCCAGGCACTAGGAAAATTGACTGGCTGTGATGAAGATTTTGCCCGCCTTGTTTGACCATGCAGAGGAAAGGTTTTTGTTATAGAGAAGTTCACTTCAAAAACTTTTGCCTGCCTGGGAAAACCAGTTGCCCTTCTGCTGAAAACGTTAATGAAACCCCTGTTGCCTTGATAAATATTCAATTTCAAAGATATGGTGCTTAAGAAAAGACACCATCTTCCAGTTAAGACCACACAAAAAGCAGTTGAAGTCATGAGTGTTTATTTGCATGAACTCGGTACGACGTGAAATAGTGAATGATGAATAACATGACATGTGGTGAATTGTAGATCATTTTTGTTGCATTATTCTGTGTCTCACACCAATATGCATGATGTAAACAGATATTATACTTTTAATTATTATGATTTATTCATTATAGATTTCAATCAAGGATACATTAAGAATAATGCCGTTATTATGTGTCCCTCATTCACCTACTGCTGAAACAATTGATAGTCAGGCTAACCCATCACAAATGTTATCAGGAGTTGATTTTTACTATGCTTATTTGTTTCTACGACAAAATATCACGATATTTCAAAAATTCAATGCATTGTTGCATCCTTGTCCCATGCGCTACTATTTTGGATTTTGTGGTATCACCTGGTTACCCTATTGTTACACAACACGGCCAGGTTGTTCAAAAACCAATTAGCGCTAAACCAGGATTAAAAGTTAACCACACTATGAATTTTTCTTGTAGAAAAATGTTATTTACTGCTTATTTTTTGTGTAGTTTGAAATTATTCAAACTCAAAACTGAAGGGCAAACAATACAAACAGAAAATGGAACCTAAAAGTCGCAAAACTCAAATCCAAATTCTCATTAATCCTGGGTTAGCTTAATCGGCCTTAAGCTTTGAACAACCCAGCCCTGAAGTGCTATTTTTGTCTGGTAATAGTTAATCTTCTTATGCTACAAGTATGTCAAAGGCTCTACAAGAGCAGCAGACAGGGCTCAAACTGGCTTTAATTTATCTCAATATGCATCAACATAGTAGGGAGAAGTTACATAATAATCACTGCTGGAAATACGGGCATTAGCAGAAGAGCACACATTGGGACCATGATGCATAAATAACGATTTGACTTACAACAAACTTAACTGATTGGCGACTGGACATTATGTTGTGTTAGAATGCAAAGTTTGAGAATCAAGCAACAAAATATGTGTATCTAGTGATGGGCAGTTGATACGAGAACCGTACACTTAGCTCTCTCTACCACAAAATATGAAGCTTAATTTCAAGCGCTTGTCTGCGAGATAATTAATTAACCTAATGTTTACTATCGACTACAGAAGTAATTTTCAGTCATTGTAAGCTGTTAGAAAGAGACAGAACACGTTTATCCCAGAGCAGAAACCAAACCAACCCTCTGTAATCGAAATAAAACTACCTGTGAGCTCTTCTCCTTCGCTGGATTCCTCCTCTTCGTCTTTTTGCCCGTTCTTTTTGTCTTTCTCCGAATCAGGTTCTGCATTGTTTGACTCTAAATCCTAGAACATAATCATCAAACAAACGAGAAGCACATCAGCTGTAAAGGTCTTGGTGGTGTTTACAAGCCTCTCAGGGTCTTGTAGAGCGAATCAAGGTGATTTCATTCAACCTTTTTCCTTACTTTGGCCTCAGATTTTGGCTCTTTGGAGTCTACTTTGTCCGCCATGTTGATCGAGGCTTCTAACGGGCATGTGCTTCGCGCGGGAAACTGAAAAAAAAAATCAATAACTGCCAGCCTCAATTTCATGCTCACCGCTGGATGCTACCCACAGGCTCAACAACGAGAATGGGGCTTACATCATGTACATCGGTTACGGCTCTGATGGCTCACATGTAGATAACGCTATTTTTGTCGCAACGGCCAATATGAAAAGGCTTTCTGTGGTCCTGCAGCTGTTCCTTCGTTTGATGCAAGTCTAAAGAAATTTCTGGTTGATAGCATATTTTTTTGCATTATTTTTGTTCCAAAACTACCGAAAAGGACACTTCAATAGCTCTGCTTCAATTCAGAAACTGTCAATTGCATTTTTGCTAAACTTTTTCCTAAACTCGTCGACCGAGAAGCAAAACACGCGTGCACTTGTTCCAGTCATGTTTCGTGTGGCCATTTTCATCTCACGTACAATATTAGCAGTTACGATCTGACCCACGAACGAAGACTGATTTCAGCCTTCAACAGGAAAAAATATATAGTAAATAGTACATTTTTTCTACACGGTCGTAAAATTGACTCCGATCGACCAGCTACTCATGCTAACGTTGTTTGTTGTTCAGGGTCAAGAGAGGATGTTTCGAGTTATTGGTTGCGGTTATCCTCAATGGGTTGGTACGTTTTCGGCTTTCCTTTCACGAGTCACGCCCTTCTAACTCAAGGAAATCTCACCCCCTACATTCTGTGAAAATCCTTAGAAATCTTCACGATGTTTGAGGATGCTTTGAAATCTCTCTTATTTGCTTTGTTTGCGGACTCAGTATTTTACGGTCCTATTATCCCAACTGATGAATTACCCCCTAACGTTGCTAACATCAATCTTCAGTCATAATCTAATGGTTGTTTTAGCATCGATTTCAATTCAGGGCTTTAACCTGGAATGCAATCAGTACATAATGACATATTTAGGAGGCCGGGATGGGGTAGCTAGGGCATTTGAGAGTTCCCCACGATTAGTGCGTTTCGGTTAAAATTCTTGTTTTTAAGTACCTCTCATCCATCTTTCTTGACATCTTTTGCAGCCGTTCTGTGCTCTTGCTTAACTGTACCCTTTTTCAGTGCAAATGACAGAAACACTTTTGTCCACTGAACCAGTTATCTTCACTTGGAGATGCCATTTTATAGGAACTTGATAACTCTGACGCTCTTTGTGCGATTTGGTCAGCTGATCTTAAAATATGTTCTGAGCAAAAGAATGTGAAGGTGTTGCAGGTCTATGAGTGCAAGACTTTACTCTAGAACTACCACTGACTTTCAAATGGAAAAGCTCGTGCAAATGTCTTCTTTACGTTTCTTCTTTTTCTTATTTTGGCAGAATTTGCTGGCTGAAAACTGTATCCTGGCAGAATTATTTAAGTTTAAGAGTGGGATCGCCGCGCGACCGGAAGACGTGACATAACCGGAAGTGGTTATCTGAGACAGCTTTCATCTCGGTGTGAAGGTTAAAATACCAACATAGAGCCGGCGGGAACCAGAGATCTCCAATCTCCAACATAAACAAGGGACGTGATTGCGTACACTCGTAGCACTGACCATCTTTTAGGCGATAAGTTCTAAAAGAAAGCGATCGTAGCGTTCGATTGTATTCAAAAAGTTGTTTGTGTGGGATAACGGCAGGAGGCAGGAAGAATGCCGATCGACGATTTGCCGCGTTGGAGTGCGGCGGGACAATTTGTTTTCACGTGTGTCATGTTGATTTTGTTGAGCAGCGAACGAAGAGCAAACGGAGGCCTTCCCTTGGAGCCGCCAAACTTCAAAATCGGTGATAAAGTCGTTTTGGAAACGAGTTTGTCGTGTGGTGTCGGAATGTTCCAAAACAAACAAGATTCAATGACTCGGTGTGCTTCAGCAAGCGAAGGTAAGAATCGTTGTTGTTTCTTCAAAAAAGTCTTATCTCTATATTCGCGTTAAACAAAGAGTTGTTTTATAACTTAACAAAGTGATGATATAAAACTTCCTGTGACACAAAACTTGCCCTTCATTTACCGTACAAAGCATTTACGTTTTTTTTTTCTCACGTTACTTAACAAACTAGGCATGTAAGAGTAAAAGCAGCACATGCAACGCTAATCCTCGCACAGACTAAACCTGCTTAATCGGGGTTAAAACTGGCTGCGAAAGCTCGAAGAAAACGGGATGAAAGAGCTCTTTCATCTTCTCTTACAGATGCAATTGTTTTCGATCGTTTTACAAAACTTTCCTCTGTCCCTCGGTCTGGGAGAAAGGAGAAATTTTAAAGTTTTGATATTAACGCAACCGATTATTCCAGAGGAACCGACAAATTGACATTGACATGGAAATTAGTCAGTAATCTGACCTTCGATTGAGTTGTTTTCGCTAGAGGATAAGCGTTCTTCAACTTTTCAGCGAAACTGTATATTAAAATTGGAAGATGAAAATAGTTCAGAACGACTGTCGACCTTTTTTTCGCGGGGTCATTTTAATGAGTTTCGTCATTCTGGTCATTTTGTGATAAAAGAACAACTTGGCAAGGAAATTTTTAATTTTATATCTCGCGTGACGCAAAACTGAGGAATTTTATAAATTGTTTATTGACGATACAGTGTTAACATTTCCGAAGAGCTAACCTTTAAGCTACTTTTTGCGTCATTTTTCGGTGAACGTTGCGACACGAGGCGATCGAATTCGCTGAGGGTTTGATAGCGCTGACAGCAACGTGCGTGATCGATAAGTGTTGTAATCATTAGAAGAGACTGGGATACCCGGGCAAGGGGCCGGGGGGGCGGGGGGGTGGGAATCCCATGTATATTAAAGCTCTATGGGTATGTCCGATATGATGTTCAGGCAGTTTAGTCTGGGATAGCTACATTTCAAGGGTTCAGAAATCAGACAATTTTGGTCAAGAATAGGGTATAATGTACCGGAAAAAGTGACCAGTGTGTAAATAATTTAATATAGGACAGGGTCTTTACCCAGGGTTTAATAAAACTCCAAGGTGACTGTGTAAGATATTGGTTTAGTTAGGGTATGTTGGTTTATGATAGTGATAAAGTTTTTGCATGGAAAATAGCTAGTCTGGGATGGGGTAGAGGTGTTTGATGCCTAGTCTAGAATAGGATTGCAAAATCAAGCGGAACATGGTCTAGTATATGTCCTGGTAAGGGTATCCGTGTCCCAGCGGCACACCCCTACCCAGTGATTTACAGAGTGCCCCCGTCCCCTGGGAGGTCAGGATACACTGTACACTGTTCTCTGTCAAATACTGCAATCTGACTGAGTCAAAATTATTTGAATTCCAAATCGTTGACTTGTAAATTGAATTTCAAGACAAAATAATACGTCAAGTGGGATGAGCTATCCCCGCTTCAGCAAAACCACGCCTAAGCGAAAACGAAGGGGTCTGCACGTGCGTTAATAGTCACAAGGCAGATTAAGATATCGGTGGTAATTAAGTGTGTAAAATCCTTTTTTATTTGGCTAAATTAAGACGTTACCTGAACTCGCCTTACTAATAGTCGTTCAACTAGTTGCGGAAGTGCAAACTAGAAGGAAAACCTCAAGAAAAATCCATTACGGAAAAGGAAGCGATCGTCACGCAATTGTATCAACAACACCATGCGAGAGAATGAATTGTCAACAAGTTGAAATTAAAAAGAACGTCTCAGTCTGGGTCATCCGCCCACTCTCAAATTCTTCGTTTTGGGTTAGCCGTGGGTCATTTCAATATAACATTAGACCATCATATATCTTTGTTGAAATACAAAAATGTCCGCCGCCCCCCCCTCCCCCATGAATCGACGATCCGTTCGCGCTGAAACCATGGGTAATCTCAATGTTTCAGTTTGAATTCACCAAGATTACAAGATTGTAGGTCAAACGCCAGGTCCAAGGCTAAGTATATTAAACACGATATAAGGTAGAATACGTACACGGTAAATGTAAGTTTTATGGGACTGCTGATGATAAGTAACTCCTTCTGTGATCGATGTCGGAGATCGACACGCGTAGTACATCGAGTCCCACGCGTGAAGGGGTCAACATGTACGAGTTACGCGCGGAGGAGTCGTAGGCACCACGAAGTTTGTTTCTTCTCAAATCCATCTTCGCATCTTGGTTCAGCTTGCATTCTTCTTCACATTCATTTTTCGGCTGTGATTTTGGAAAGAGCGAAATGTTTTTGCTTCCTGCAACCTTTGGGATCGTTTTACGAGTTTGCTCCCATTATCACTAGGGGACTAATACTATGACTCATGTTTTCCTTATTTCAACTTTCAATTGCAGGTGGGTCAAACCAGACAAGGTGGTTGCAAAGCGAAGACTGTTCGGCTTGCGATCCTTTGAGTAACACTACATTGAGCATAGAGAGTGTAATGGGAGCCGGCGTGAAGCGTGAATGGAGATCTCTTCCTAAAACAAGCGATAGCGTACTACAGGAGATCAATATCACCATCAGGTTTCCACAGGTATGCGTTATTATTTGCAAGCCGAGACCTTTTCTAAAGTAGTTCTGTACCGTTCTGTGGGAGCTAGTTTCAGCCGATAGAGGAAAGCTGGGTATTGCGGAGCCCGCGGTTTTCGTCAGCGGAATGGCTTAGAAACTTCACGTGTACAAATGTAGCCGACGCGGCCGCTCTCGCCACAACCTCGTCCGCGGGGATTTCTCCTCGAAGAGTGGAGAAGACCCTGGGGACGACGTTGATGCCGCCAAGGTCACCGGGAGAATTAGAACAATCGCTCACTTACATTGGTTTCGGCAAAAGTTTTCCACTCTCATCTGAAATATATAGCGTCCACAGGTTGGCATGTGACGATACGTTTCTTGCCGAGAACATTTTGCAACATAAAGAGGGTCGGAACTAGAAAGATTTTCGTGGTTTCAAATGAGCTACTATAAATTCCAAAAGAGAATGTTTCCCCGTTAGTTTTCAAGCTCTGAATCGTAACAGTATTGTAGTCGTTCAGTCTCCATCCTGCTGATAGCGTATTATTGGAACTTGTTGCAATAACTCGTTACGAGTGCATGGTACACAAAGACGGCGAAAATAAGTAGATATGTCCTTCATACAACCATAAGAGTAAAGGAATTCATGCACTAGCACAAGCACAAGCATATTCTAGTACAATAGAAATTACATTGGACACTCGTTGCGACAGTTTTCGCCGCCTTGCCCCTCTTCGTAAACGGCTGCAACTTGTAATTGGTTGCAGAAACGATGAAAAACTGTTCATAACCATTTACGATCATGTTTCATATAATAACTCGCGTGACGGATTAGAGAACGCTAAAGCTGTTCGCAGTCCTGTTTCCGCCTGTTTCCGAAACAAACAAGTAATCTGGAAAAGGCTCGGAAAGCGTTGGTGGACTTGGAGGATAATTTTTGATACCGTCCAAATGGCTGAAAACCGCATCCCGCATGTTCGGAGAATACAGCAATTAGAGATTTAAAAAAATCGAAATACCGCAAGAAAAGATGTCCAGGGACGAATTTTTTTGCGTTATTACGGTCCTCAGAAACCCTCAACGTCCCCCTCAAACTTCAATTGTCGGATGAAAAGTGGTTTGACAGGTGAACGTTTCACAGGGGTGGGTGGAGGGACGAAATGCGTGGGGATTGAAGTTTCCCAACACTTGTGACCAGGTTTGTAACCGCTTAGGATTCCTTTTCAAGGAGAAGAATTGGTATCTCTCATGCAAGAGTTTGTTGAAATTTAAAACCAGCCTTACCTTAATTCTTTAAAAATACTAAAAACCTTCTACATCCCGCGAATTATGAGATGCTTTTAAAATTTGTTTGGATTTTTAAGGACGCAGTCTCATTCCTCATGTCTTATCATTGCCAGGTTTGTTTAGATGTGCATGATATCTTATTTCAGAATCGATTCCGAATCTCTCGATGATATCAAAAGTTCTGCGACGTAGTCGGCAGGATTCGAACCTGCGCGGGGAGACCCCAATGGATTTCCAGTCCATCGCCTTAACCACTCGGCCACGACTACTTTGGTAATTAAATGCCGAGAAAAAAGGCTGAAAAATCGGTCACGAATAAATACGTTAACGATACCACAGCGAAAAGTGAATAAAAAAGTGATGTAAAGTAGTTAGAGAAAAAGTCGAAGGTAAACACAAGCAAACTGGTGAACTGGGAACGTGTCTTGAGTTTTCTTCATGGTTTTAAGGTCGCCAGAATCATGTTGTTTGACAAGAAATGAAAAATTCCCCGAAGATCCTGACTAATGACCATTCAACCTCTCTTTTCACGGTTGGAATAGAAGAAATTGTTGTAAAAAAGAGAATTCCATATGGAATTCCGACTGAATTCCATGTGATGCTATTGCTGCCATTAAGTAGTAACAACAATGGATGACAATAAGTAGTAACAACAATGGATGACAAACAGATAAAAAAGTCAGGTATTGTTGAAGTTATCCGTCAGCAGCAGAGTGACGCAGTGGAAGCGTGCTGGGCCCATAACCCAGAGGTCCGAGGATGAAAACCTCGCTCTGCTAAAATTTTTATTTGTTATTCTTTTTTTCTCGCAGTCATATCTTGTAAACGTTCTTCAAACGTAAGTTTTTGGAATTCGAACTAAGATCCTTAGTAAGGATACTATGACCTTTCTTTTTTCAGCTTTTC